CCTGCGCGGCCGCGGGGGGGGGGGAGCCGCTGGCTCTCCTCTCGCCTTCACCAGCTGACTAAAGCCGAAGGAATCCGATTCCCCCTCCCCATCCCGCCCCTCTCCATGGTTGTCCGCTCTGGCTGTGACAAGGTAAGGGCTTGACGGGATGGGAATTCCGGGGGTGCGGAGGGCCTGGTGAGGGGATGCTGGCTCTGCACCTCCTCCTGAGCTGCTGGAACCAAGTAGGCTCCACAGGGCATTGAACCGGGAGAGTTTTTCCTTGTTTCTTGTGGTTGGTGCCTGTAGGGCAAATGCTGGAGCGCTGGGACGGGCTGGGGATGCAGGTACCTGGCAGGGCTGGCATGCCAGGCAGGGAGAGAAGGACAGGCCTACCCGCTCCGACAGCTCAGCGCCTTCCCTTTCCCTCTGAACCTCCCTTGAAGTCAAAGCACATGTGTCCAGCTGGAGCTGCCTCTGGGAAGCCAGTGCTGTCAGCCGCGGCGTGGGGGAGCCGCTCGGCCTGACCGTGAGGTGCCCAAGGCTGCCAGGAGCTTTGTAAACGGGAAACAACCAATAAATAAATAAAGCAAGCAGAACAGAGGCAGGTTTTGTGAAGATGCTAACTTGGTGCTTTTCACTGCTTGGACCAAAGAGGGCCCTGGACCAGGGGGTTCCTTGGAAATGTGGCTCTTCTTAGCTCCCTGTGGGCATGGACCAGAATAGGGGAAATTTAGACTGTGGAGGGAGTAGTGTGGCAGTTTTGCCTTTCCTTATGCAATTTATATTTGCAAATGCATGCACAATTCTGCTGTGTGTTTTGGGTCAATGAAGCCGTAGAGGTTAGGGGAAAAGTGGATTAACCTCACTAGGCTTCCGAGCAGGACCAGGACACGGATTTGCACGCTGGCCCACAGTCACCTGGACTGGTCAGCACATTCCCAGTGCAGATTTTGGTCTGGACCAGGTAGGGCAGTGCCAGGCAGCTCCTGGGTGGATGTGTGTCATGCTGTGCCTGCGGCTCTGGGACAGGGCCATGGGCACCGTGGTCTAATCAAGTGCTCCCGTGTTCTCGCTGTGACTCTGGCAAGGGTCATTGGCATCGCTCATGGTGAGGAGGGTGATGGGGGTAAGGGCACAGAAAGGAATTGTGCAGATGGAGTGGATTTGGCAAATGGCATTGGGAGAGCCAACATGGAGAGCCGTGGCCTTCAGAAGGCGTTGGCGGTTTGGCCGCAAGTGGTTTCCACTCTTCTTGAACTGTGTATTTATTTAAGAAGGAGAAACTCAAGTGTCCACGGAGGCACTTCCATTTGCAGTTCTGGCTGTTCCTCCCAGCACACTTACAGCATCACGCCTTGCCTGAGGGGACATCCCCTCTTCCCACCCAGAACGTGTAATCGCTCTTTGCGGACGGATGTGACATGTGTGTGTGGCGGCACCAGGGGGTCACGAGCTGGGGGGTGGCCGCGGCTGGGCCATCACCCCAGCAGCTCAGCACGTCGTGCGGGGGTTTCTTGGGGCAGGGGAGACCCCCCCCCCGCCTCCCCGGCCGGCTCCCTCCGTGCCTAGGAAATGGTTAACGCGGCGCAGCCTGCGGAGGAAGTAGTTAATATTCACGGTTGGGAGCTGTCTGTCCGGCCAAGCCGTCCTTCCTTCATGGCAGCTGGCGCTCAGCCTCCTCGCTCCTCCTCGCTGGGGTTAACTGGGGCTGGGGCTGTCGTCACGAAATCAGACGCGGGCATCCCCGAACCCCCCTTCCCGCTGCCTCTCGCCTTCCCCTCCGGCCGCGAGTGCTCCCGTCCCTGTGTGGTCTGGGAAGGAGGGGAAGGGAACAGCACCTCCTCTGTCTCCAGCCCATCTCCGCCAGCTCCCGCCGCCTTTCCCTCCTCCATCCTCCCCTCCGGCGCTCTGCCCCTGGGACGGGCGCTGCACCCGTGTCCCTCCCGGGAGCCGCCTGGGATCCCTGTTCCGGGTCCCCTCGGTAGCGCCGGCTGCCGCCGCGGTGCGGGGGCCCCCCGGGACTGGCCGGTGAGGAGGGAGTAGCTCCGTGAGAAGAAAAGCAAAGCCAGGGGGACCAGCGCCAGCCAAAGGCAGCCCCGGGCTGGCAGCTCCCGTCCTGGACGGACACACGGAGCCAGCTGCGGACGCCACTTGAGCTGCCGTCGTGCCAGGTCCCCTGGAGAGCTCTGGTGCTGGAAGGAGTGAAGGAAGGGGGATTTGCCACCCACTCCTTCTCTTCGCCTGGGATCTTTTCTTCCCCATCCCCTTTGGGTAAGTCCTGACTTTGCTTTTCTTTGAGTGTGATGGGATGGGGGGAAAGGGGCAGAGGATATGGGAAGTCTATGACCGTGGCTCAGAGCCTGGGTGCTCTCTTGACATCATGTCTGGACACACGATGAAACCAGAGCTGTGGGGGGCTGAGCTCTACCCATGGAGTCTCAGCCTGGGTCCTTCGCTCTGTGAAGGACCCGAGGACCCTTTGATCCTGCCCACTGTCTCATGCTTTGGAGATGCTCCAGGGCCAGTGCTCTGTCTGTCCTGGAGCGGAGGGAGCAGGTGGGATGCTGCTTATGGCAGGATCAGAAAAAACATGGTGATGCCCCAACTTTCCCATATATGCCGATGTTTGGATTCATGCTGGCGCAAGGTGCTGGGTGGTCAGGCGCTGCTGGCGCCAAGGGAGCTGGCTGGGATTTGGGGACGTGTGTCCTTCCTCTCCCCCCCTGCCTCTCCCCATGTCCTGTTGCCAAACATGGGGCCAGGTTTTCTTCCAGGGCTGAGCCGCAAGGTGATGGGGAGGGAGAGGGCAAATCATTGCCCCCCTGGGGGCAGTTAACAGTAACTGGGGCAGGACGAGCCAGAGTTTAGAGTCCCCCCAAGCATGGCAATACGACCAGACTGGGACTGAGCCCTGCCCAGGGCTGTACCTGAGATCTGACCTTCGGGCTGAAACCTGGCCTTGCCAGGAGCTGGGGAACTGTGCTGCAAATGGGAGCCTGGGATCTTGTTGTTTTGGGGATGGTTGTTTTCACTAAGACAGCCTGTGCCACCTTCCTTCATTCTTATTTTTCGGAGCAGTGAGACTTTATTTACCTTCTCAGGTGACAAATGGTTGATGACCGTATGATCGATAGCATGATCTAGTGATGACGGGGGGCCTGGAGGTGTCAGGGAGTAGCAGACGCTTGGTCTTGGTATCAGAGCCCAGGAGATGGGGGCAGGGTGGGCTGTCAGCACAGCAACCAGGGGACAAGGAGCTGGCCGAGGGTGGAAGTGCTGCAGCCCGTGTCCTTCCTCACTACCCGGCTAGTGCCCTTGGGCTGGGGGCCACCAAACATCCCCAGAGAGCAGGTGGGCTGCTGTGTTCAGGCGCTCCTGTGAGCTGCACCGTGCTCCCTGCTGACCCCCGTTTCGAGATGTTTCTCCTGGCCCTGGGGTAATCCCCAGCCCACAGTCTATTTAAAGCCTTTCCTATCTATTTTTTCCCCCTGGAGCCATGTGCTTTCATTTATTTTTATTTATTCCCTTTTCCTTTCCCTCCCTGTGCCCTATTTATCCCTGCCTCCCCCACTGGCTCTTGCCTCGTGTCCCGGGACCGGCCAGCGCCCATCCCTGCCTCCCTGCACGGAGGGCCATGCGATGTCCCGGCTCCAAGCAATGCCTCAGCCTCTTGGGCGTTGACGTCGCCCCTGGACGCTCACTGCTTCTTCCCTTCTCTCTTCATGAGTAGGGATTCCCTCCCTCTTTCCCCTCTCTTTGGTGAGGGAGGTGTTGCTGAGTCAAACGTTGTGGGTTCCTGCCTAAACCGGGTGGATTAAATTTCTCCGAGTCTCCAGAAGAAACTGTGGACTCCCATCCTCACCTCCTTTCCCGCACCCGGGTGCTCGGGAACCGCCAGGGAACTGCCAGGACTGCCCCAGCGCGGGGTCCTGGCGCGTCGTCACCGCAGGAGGGTCTTTGAGGTTTGTCCACCCCCTTGGGACACCACCGGTTGCTGTCAGGGATTCAGGAGAGGAGATCGGTGGCGAGGGAGAGCAGGGAGAAGCTGACTTGGTTTGTTGTGTGCTGGGTGTTATTTCTCCCTGCCAGGGCGGTCGGGCGGCTGCGTCTCGGAGCTGCTGGGGGGCCGGGAGCACGTGGGCAGCCTGGGTGCGTCGGGGCGAGCGGGCACGCAGCGGTTAACGCCGCGCCAGTGCCCCCCGCACGGGGACTCGCTTTCGGAAGTGTTTTGCTCGCAGATAGGAGTGCTCTGATTTCACACTATCGCATTAGAGCCGTCTTCCGTTCCTGAGTCAGCCGCCTGGCCTCCGGCCAGAGAAGAGTCATTTTTTCCTCCAAAAGAAAGTGTTTAATGCTGCTCGCAGGCCCTTCCAGGAAACCTCGGCGGGGAGCTGGAAAAACAAGAGTCTGCAGCCCAGCCGGTGGCATGCGCGCTCGGGGGGAGGGACGGGCACGGCCCCATTGCCGTCTCGGCAGCCGGGGTCCCTGCGGCTCCTCATTGCACCCAAAGGCTGTGCGACCCCCTGGGAAATTGGTGCTGGGCACAGCCCGTGCTGCCGGGGGCGGGTGGTGCTTGGATGACTGGAGAGGGCCGGGAGGCCAGCGGAGGGGGAGCCGGGGCAGCCGCAGCACGGGGAGGCCTGCCCAGGTTTCTGGGCGGTGACGTTGCTGTATCGTGGCAGCCGTCGGGGCTTGGCTGCGGAGCGGAGCTGGCTGCTTGCACAGGCCCTGGATTGTGGCATCGGGGCGCGAGGTGCCTCCTCGGCGAGGAGAGGCTGCTTGTGCGGTGGGAGAGCATCTGCCTAGGAGGAAAGGAGCCGAGCAGATCTGTCCGACGTGAAGGAGGGAAGGGAGAGCACTAAAAGGGTGGGAGCTTTTCTGTAGCCAGGGAAGAAAATGTCAAGGCTGGGTGGCTGGCTGGATCCGAGCATCATCTGGGAGGAGAGCGGGAAGAAGGAGTGGGTGGGAAGGTGGCTCCCGAGTTCATCTGTCCTCCATCTGCGGATGAGCACATGCAGCTGACACAGGCAGATCCGCAGCCTGTGCTCCTAATGCCTGTGCAGGCATCGCTCCCGTCCTTAGCACGGCCACAGCCCTGGCAGTCTCCCCTGCGCTGTGCGGCCCTCGGTTCAGCTGTGTGGAGAAGTGGGGACACTGTTATGTGCAAGCTGATTCCTTGTCAGCAGTCCCCACTGTCTCCATCAATGGGTCCTGGAGGAAAATTGCCGTTAACGCTGGATGGAAGCGGGGGGTTGGTGCTGGCTGGCTCCAGAGCACGCAGTGCTGTCAGAGCAGGATGCTGGCAGGAAGGATGGCACACGGAGCCGGGCAGCACGCGGAGCCGCGGCGCAGGGGCAGGGGGGTCTGGCCCCAGGGACAGGGCATGGTGGCGCCTGTGGGGTTGCGGAGGGTGCCGAGGAGACGGCAGTGCTGGTAGTTAAGCGTTGTGGCGGCACGGAAGAGATCGAAACCATCGGCTAATGGGACCCATTAGCTCCATGCAGACAGCCAGCAATTGATCTTGGGTCTCGTGTTCATTTCTCCCCCTGCAGAGGTTGGGCACACACAAGGGCCCCTGGACGGGAGCCTCTACGCTAAGGTGAAGAAGAAAGACTCCCTCCACGGCAGCACCGGCGCTGTCAACACCACCCGCCTCCCGCTCTCGGCAACGCCGAACCATGTCGAGCACACGCTCTCGGTGAGCAGCGACTCGGGCAACTCCACCGCCTCCACCAAGACCGACAGGACCGATGAGCCAGGGGCGTCCGGGGCGCCCAGTGGCCAAACGGTGCTGAGCCCTGAGGAGAAGCGGGAGCTGGACCGGCTCCTTGTCGGCTTCGGCTTGGAGAGCACGGTGCCCATGCACAACCGCGCACCGGGCCCCGTGCCCACTCGCTTGCCCACCATGACGGGCCGCCACGTGGTGCCAGCTCAGGTGCACGTCAATGGGAACGCCGCGCCGCTGGTGGCCGAGCGGGAGACAGATATCTTAGATGACGAGCTGCCCAACCAGGATGGGCACAGCGTGGGCAGCCTGGGCACGCTCTCCTCCTTGGATGGCACCACCACCGCCAGCGAGGCTGGGTACCACGAGGCACCCCGCGTAGGGAGCCTCTCCTCCCTGCCCAATGGCCCTTCGAGCTACAACGGCACCGAGAAGCTGCTCAAAGAAGGGCTCTATGATGCGGAGCTGCTCTCCAACGGTGGCTACCCCTACAACAACCAGAACACGCTGATGGGGCATCACGTCCGTGACCCTCTGTCTCACTTGCGGCCGTCAGCATCCGCTCAGGAGAGCCTGGCCGGCTACCCACAGAGGCAGCCGGGCTTGTCATCCCCGGTCTGGCTCCAGCCCCAGCCACTGGCCAGTGTGCAGCCCTACCTGTATAGCTACGACCCTCCTGGTGCCTACCGCTCCCAGTCCTACCCGGCGGTGGACTTGGCCAAGTACGAGACAAACCCCGCACTGCCCCAGGCCCCAGCTCGCAGCACCAGCAGCCGGGAGGCCGTGCAGAGGGGCTTGAATTCCTGGCAGCAGCAAGGCGGGAGCCGGCCACCTTCCCGGCAGCAGGATGGTGCCTTGGAGAGCCACAGCCCCAGCGTGTCCAGCTGCAGCCCCCAGCCCAGCCCGCTGCAGCTCGTGCCCCCGCACAGCCACAGCATGCCCGAGTTCCCGCGGGCACCGTCCCGCCGTGAGATCGAGCAGTCCATCGAAGCGCTCGATGTCCTCATGCTTGACCTCGCTCCCACCGTGCACAAGTCACAGAGTGTGCCCGTGACCTCCCGTGAAGACAAGCCGGGGCCCCTGGTCTCCTCGCTGTCAGCCCAGCCTGTTTCAGGTCTCTATGGCCAGTCAACTCTACAGGTGGCCCAGCCAAGGTCCTTCGGTACCTCTTTGAGCGCCACGGTCTCCGAACCTGTGCCCAAAGCCTATTCTCCTGTGGGTCGTGGTGTTGGGGAGCCAGACTACATGGTGCAGGATTACCGGGAGACCTATTCGCCCTACAGCTACCAGCCGCCTTCCGTGCCAGAGCCAAGGAGTTACAGCCATGCCCCGGCCAGTGCCCCGGTGAGCGTCGTCTCGCTCAGCACCTCGTACAGCCCCACAGGATCTCAGCAGCTCCTGGTCTCCTCCCCACCTTCCCCTACAGTCCCAGCACAAACCCAGCTACCCCTCAAGGGGCTTGAGAGCTATGAAGACTTGTCGAGATCAGCAGAAGAGCCCTTGAACCTGGAGGGCCTGGTAGCCCACAGGGTGGCAGGTAGGATGCTTTGATTCCTTGGGGGGACGGGAGGGATGTTGTCTCCAGTGCGGGGCGGCTCTGAGCCTGCCGAGGGTGGCAGCCTGTGCCTCTCTCCGTGGCCTCTCTCTCTGCATCTTAAACCAGGCTGCTCTGGTTTAAGGTGCAGAGCATGCGCTCTGTGTTGCATAGAGCTGGCTCCTCTCTGGCTGCAGACTCTTCCTTTCCCCTCTGAGTGCTGGCCTTGGGGCTCATGCCCAGCCTGGGTGCCGTCTGAGAGGGAAATGTGGTGCAGGGTGGCAACAGCATCCCCTGTCCTGCTTCAGGTCCTGCTCTCTGGGGCTCCTCAGCTCAGTCTTCTGCCCCAGTTACTGAGCTAGTTGGCCCTAGGAAGTTGGGAAATGGGCCTGGTGCATGCGGGGGCAACCGGGTGGTGGGAAGGCATTTCCCAGCCCATCTGGAGTGGAAGAACAGCATGGTGTGCCCTGTGCAATGCAGAGCATTGGTGCCATGGCTGGCTGAATGTGTTTGTTCCATGCCATTGAGAGGAAAACTGTGTGCTCCAAATTCTTGCCCTCCCCTGGATCTGTCTCAGGGAGACTTGTGGGAGGGGAGTGCCAGCCCCTTCCCAGAAATGGGCTCCCATGACCCTGGAGCAATGTGGATGCCCTCCTTCCATGCCGTTTGAATGCGCAGTTGTTTAACAGTGGAGCGACTTTTGGGAAGGATTCGGGGCTGTGTCCAGGCTCGGGGCCAGCTCATGATGCTGAGGCTTGGCAGCTCCGTCCGTTCCAGCTCTGTGCTCAGTCCAGAAACTCGCACGGTATTAGAGGGAGGGGGAAAAGGCTTGGCTGGAAAAGTACAAGCAGTCCCAGCCCACCAGGTCCCGGACTGCGGCACTGCGGCACTGGGCTCGGGGGCAGGAGGGCTGCGAGTGACACGGGCAGGGTCTGGGGGCTGGAGAGGTAGCGGTGGGCAGCTTGCATCCATCCGAACCCGGTCTTTGTGATTCAGATGACAGAAGTACTCAGGGACCCAAGAGCTTGTGCAGAGGGTTTAAAAATGCCAAGGATATACAGATACCCCTGTGTATCTCTGGACTGAATATTGCAATAAGAAGCAATCCAACAAACCACAAAATCCTCCTAGCAGCTACGAGGAGGCGTAAAAAAAAGAGGTGGAAAAGAGCAGAGAGAAGGTGAGCATGGAGGGGCCAGTTAGTAGTCCCTGGCACCATCCCAATGGGCAATGCCATTTGCAGTGGGTTGGAAATGGATGTTTGCTTGTGTCCATCAAAAACTCTTGCCCCAACTTTAGGAGTCTGGGAGAGGGTCCTGGCGGCTGCTCCAGGATGACACACATCCCCCCGCAGCTCCGGGCTTGCCGGGAAGCGGAGCAGCCGGGGGCTGCTGCCCACCCACGTCCAGCTGTCACCGGCAGAGCCAGCGCGTCCGCGCCCGGTGGGACGTGCACCTGATCTGCAGCGGGAACGGGGCGTCCCGGGGCGGCGCTGGCGCGGGAGCCAGGCGGCTGGGCAGCCGGGCCTACGTGTGTTTACATTCCCCGCTGCTATAAATTGCCCAGTGCATCCCAGGGCAGCAATGAGGAGCATCTCGCACCTCCTCCGTGCGCCAGGACGGGGAGCACTGACACTTCGGATTCCCACTGGGCCGTGCAGGAGCAGGGATGGTTCTTCACGTCCCTGTTGCCTCCTAGATAGACTTCCCTTCTGTGTGCCCAGGGCCCTGGGCCATGTCAGGCCCCGGCATCCTGAGATGTAAAGCCCAGGATGACCATGGCAGGTTGTCCCTGGTTCCCCATCGTGCTGTTTGCTGCTCTGTTCGCTCCGCAGCCGCTCTCTGGCTGTGCCAGCGCGTGCGAGGCTGGTGCGAGGTGGAGGGGACCTGCGTGGTGTCCCATGGGGACGGGGCAGAGCATCAGTTGGGCATTTGTGGTGTGCTGCGAGGGTGCACATGGCTGGGAGCTGCCCAATTCCCGCTGGGAGCAGAAAAGGAACCTGGAGCCAGTGCAGGGGGCTGGACTGCAGGCCCAGCTGTGGGAGTCCAACTAATATTTTCTCTTGTTTTCTTTTCTCTCTCTCCCCATTGTCCATGTGATACGTCTTGTCTGTCCATCTGCCACCCCCTTCCCTGTGGTGGACGGCGTCTGTCTCCAACCCTCTCTTCCATCCCCTTGCACCCCCTGTCTGGCGGCGCTGACAGAGTACAACGCCAAGCTCAGGGACCTCTGCAAGAGCAACAAAGCCCCCCGTCCTCCTCTGAACCAGCCACGGTCCTTCTCCTCCTCTGGTTTGTTCTGTTCTCCCTCCTTCCTTCCTTTTCCTCCTTCTTTCCTTCCTTCTCCTTCCTCCTTGAATCCTCTGCCTTCCTTCCTTCTCCTCTTTCCTTTTCCTCCATCTTTCATCCTTCATCATTTTCCTGCATGCCGAGTGCTCTGTGTGTTGCATGGACATGGGATGGGGGGAGGCTCAGGAGATCCACACAAGGTTGATCCCCTTTTTCAGCAGGGCGATGCTCAATGTGTCCCTTTGGAGACAATGTCTCCCACACACCTTGAGCTCCTGCAATGGATGGGGAAGCACCTGCCTATGGATGTGAACTCTTCTGTCCACCCTGAGTTTTGCTTCTCATTCAACCCTGGCAGGGTTTATCTGGGCTTAATCTAGGGCTGAGCCTGGTGTGCCTGGAGCACATCTCTCTCATCAGGGGCTGTTCCTCAGCCCTGCTGCACTAGTTTTGGGGTGAAACACAGATGGTTGTGTCAGCAAAGTGCCCTGGATGAGCGAAGAGGTAGACGTGGCCCTGGCCTGTGGCATGGACGAGGCTGGGGCTGCGCAGCACCGTGCTGCTGGGGACACTGTGCCCTGCCAAGGCTGCGCTGGGCCTGGTGTCCGCAGGAGGGGCACCCGTGTGGGAATGAGGTTTTTAATTTTCAAGCATCGTTTCCAGCACATTGATCCCCTGGGGGTCGGTGGGAGCTGTGCTCGGAGCCTGGGTTTCCTCCAGGCGCTGCTACAAGCGCCCTGCGATGGTTCCCACTCCGGGCTCCTGAACAATGAGCTCCTTTTTCCTCTCCTCCCTCCCCTTGCTGCTGTCTCCATCTGTTTTCCATTTCTGGGGAGCAGAGAAGCAAAAGTCCACTGAACTCATGGCTGTCTTGAGCGCCGGGCACAGAGAGGGGGATTCAGCACCGCAGAGGCGCTTGGCCGGCGCTGCCGAGCGCTGGCTGCTCCCAGGAGCTGCGGCGGCTCCTGCGGCGGCTCCAGCCTCCCTCTGCTG